CCCATACCCTACCCCCACCCCCTCCCCCCCCCACACACAGAGGGTCGACAGCAGACATAGAGCCGTCTCTTTACCATTTTAATCGACCCGGCACCACCACCAACGACGCCAACGCCGCCGACAAGCCGGCAATGGTTCGGGGAGAAGAGAAGTCTGACACAAGCCAGGTCCATTGCTGCTGTCTGCCTGTGTTGTCGTCTGTGTGTGCAGGGGGCCATGAACACGATGAGCACGAGGGTACGTGAGCCAGAATGGCACGAAGGGCAGCCAAACACTCTGACGATCGTGCCGTTGTCTCCCATGTGTGCAGGAGTCCCTCCCGGCCTCACCGACAGCCATGGCCAAGGCCAAGGTATGCACACACGAGAGAATCAGCAGTGTCGTGACGCACCCAAACACACACACACACACATTGCCCTTTTGTCGCCTGTGTGCGGTTGGTTGGGTGGGTGCAGCAGCAAGCCCAGCCAGCCCACCAGCAGCGCCAGCAGGACGAGGAAGACAACGAAGAGGCCGCGGGTACCATTTGAGTGTGCCTGGTCTCAGCGCGCCTGCCTCATGGTCATGCCCTGCTGGTCTGATGTTTGTTCAGATGACGAGCGGCACGACGACGAGGAGTTCGCCCAGCACTTCGAGCAGCGGGGAGACCGCGAGCAGGGCGAGGGCGACCAGGACGAGGACGGTGGGTGGGGGAATACGCTATCAACAAACGAAGACACAGACACCCTTGTGTGTTGGGCTGTGTGTACCGATTGATGCAGACTTCTGGTGGGTGGTGGGCTTCAACGGCCAATATGCCCACCCAGTGCGCAGCCACCCCAGCTGGTTCCTGGGCTACCAAGGCGACGACAGCCACTTCGTCGGCGGTGAGTGGGCCCACTGACGGATACGGACGGCTGTTACACATATGACATCGGGTGTCTGACCTGTCTGCAGACGAGGAGCGGGAGGCGGCAGACGGCGGCCAGATGGAAGACCAGCGGAAGCAGCAGGAGGAGAGGCAGCAAGGTACGTGTGGCTGAGTGACCAGACAGGGCCCGAATGTGTGTGCACAAACACCCTGTCGACGGTCGTATATGTTTGCTCATATGGTCTGCGTCTGTCTGTCTGTGTGTCTGTCTGTCTGCAGAGGAGGCGGCCGAGAGGGAGGGGCCCGTCGAGCAGGACGACGAGCAGCAGGACGAGCAGCAGCCGGCGGCCATCCAGGTATGTATCATCCACTCGACTGCACACACGCCCCTCCCTCCCTCCATGTTTATCCATCTGTCTGTCGTCTGTCGATCTGTGCAGCACAAGTACGTCTACCAGTGGAGCCAGGCCTGGACCCAATTGCGCCCGCCCGTTGTTGTGGTGAGCACACTGTGAATGCATTAATGGCTGATGGGCGCGGCGCATCAACGCATCTGCTCCCTGCTGTGTGTTGTCAGAGAACCACCAGACGCACAGTCGGCTACCGCCTGCCGGTGGGTGGAGATCAGAAGAAGTGCTCAGCAATGGTGTCCGCACCCCATCCATGTTTGTTTCTCTGTGCCTGGTGTCTTGTCTGTCAGACCTTTGGGCACTCACACATCCAAACCGCCACACATCGCCGTAAGATGTCCACACACACACACACACACACACATTGTGTGGGGTAGATTTGTATCGGTCCCTTCTGTTCATCTCTCTCTGTGTGAACAGGCCCGTCGCTGGCGAAGACGTGCTGCCGCTGACTGTGCTGCGCTGTGTGGGTGGGTGTCTGTCTGGCTGTCTGGCTGCCTGTCTGTCTGTCTGCCTGCCCGGCTGCCGACTCCCTCATTGGCTAACTCCCTCACCAGACTTACTGAGTACTATGTGATGCATTGCATAAGTGTACCCATACATACAAATGCATACAGACATACGCATCTGCCGGCGGTGAGTGGGCCCACTGACGGATACGGACGGCTGTCACTTACACACATGACATTGGGTGTCTGGCCTGTCTGCAGCAGACGAGGAGCAGGAGGCCGAGCGCCGCGGCGCCGTGGACCAGCAGCAGCAGGAGAAGCGGCAGGAAGGTACGCAGGACTGATTGACCAGACAGGCCCCGAATGTGTGTGAACAAACACCCTGTCGACATTCTTTGCTCATGGGGTCTCTGTCTGTCTGTCTGCAGAGGAGGCGGCTGACGAGCAGGACGACCAGCAGCAGCAGGACGACCAGCAGCAGGCGGCCCCCATCATGGTATCATCCACTCGACTGCACACGCGCATCTCCCCAATTGTCCCTCCCTCCGTGTGTGTCGTGTGTCAATCAGATCAACCAGCAACAGCAGCAGCAGGCGGCGCCAGTGCAGCCCAAGGTGTACATGTACCTGTGGGGTCTATCGTGGACAGAGCTGCGGCCGTCCGTGGTGGTGGTGAGGACATTGTGAATGCATTAATGGCTGATGGGCGCGGCGCATCAACGCATCTGCTCCCTGCTGTGTGTTGTCAGAGAACCACCAGACGCACAGTCGGCTACCGCCTGCCGGTGGGTGGAGTGACCACAGGAACTGCTCAGCAATGGTGTCCGCATCGCATCTCAGCCATGTTTGTTTCTCGGTGTCTGGTGTCTTGTCTGTCAGACCTTTTTGCCCTCACACATCCAACCCGCCACACATCGCCGTAAGATGTCCACACACACACACACACACGCACAGTGTGTGGGGTACATTTCTATCGGTCCCTTCTATTTATCTCTCTCTGTGTGTATGAGCAGGCCCGTCTCTCAAGACTTGCTGCGGATGAATGTGCTGTGCTCGGCTACTACGGCGACGACAACTCATCTGCCGGCGGTGAGTGGGCCCACTGACGGATACGGACGGCTGTTACTTACAAATATGGCATTGGGTGTCTGGCCTGTCTGCAGACGAGCAGCGGGAGGCGGCAGACGGCGGCCAGATGGAAGACCAGCGGAAGCAGCAGGAGGAGAGGCAGCAAGGTACGTGTGGCTGAGTGACCAGACAGGGCCCGAATGTGTGTGCACAAACACCCTGTCGACGGTCGTATATGTTTGCTCATATGGTCTCAGAAGAAAATCGCCGTCTACATTTTATATCCTGTGGCTCATGTTTCATTCGTACCCTCGCCCCAAGACAACCAGCAGCCCCACGACGACGGTGGGTGCGGGGGCAATACATTATCGACAAACGAACACACAGACACCCTTGTGTGTTGGGCTGTGTGTATCGATTGATGCAGACTTCTGGTGGATGGACTTCGGCCGGCAATACGCCCACCCACTTCACAGCCACCCCAGCTGGTTTCTGGGCTACCAAGGCGACGACAGCCACTTCGGCAGCGGTGAGTGGACCCACTGACGGATACGGACGGCTGTTACACATATGACATTGGGTGTCTGGCCTGTCTGCACTACTTCTGCACTCGCGCACCTGCCGGACCGGTCAGCGTTGCCGCACGTAAGAGGGTATGCGCATACACACACACACACACACATGAATGCGTGGACATGTGTGGTGTGTTCTGGCGTTCTCGTACCAGCAGTTCGTGACGGTGCGAGAGACCGAGACCCAGGAGCAGCAGCAGGCTGCCATCCAGGTATGCAGCCACAAGTCTGTGTGCATCTCTCTCTCTTTCTCTTGGCATCTCATCCACACACTGAGAGGTAGGCATCTCTTCCTCGGCACTGTCTGCAGGAGCAGGCATCGTTCGACGACAGTGCCGAGGCCAAGAAGGTCGCTGAGGGGACAGCAGAGGCCCGCCGTGTAAGCACACTCACTCACTCACAGAGACACTGGCGGGCGGTTCGTATGATCATGTTTCTGTCTGCGTATGTGTGTGGGGGGGTGTACGTCTGCCTTTCACATTGCAGTTCTCGGAAGCCACCACTCGTTACGATCCCAGGTGGGTGTATTAATTGGTCGATGGATGAAAGACGAAACCAAAGCCACCAAATGGCCTTGGTCGCTCTCTCTGTTTGTTGCTGGCTGCAGGGGTCGGTCTTCTTCGGTCATAGGTCGACGTTCATGAGCCAGGTGAGGTCTGTCACCCGACTGGCTGGAGAGCCCCAGAAGACATCCATGCCTCCGACTGGCTGATGGTCACTGTTTTGGCGTGTGTGTCCGTGTAGGGGTGTGTCGTTCCCGATGAACACCGGCGTCGACGAGGCGGAGCACAAGAGACCCATCCACTGCCAGGTACATGGGTGCTGAGTACATGCGAACATCTGCGTCGTATGTCGGTTCTGTGTTCAGCAGGTGCCGTATGATTGGCGTTTCCCTGTCGCTAGCCAGGTAAGGGCATCATCAGTGTGCCTGCACTCACACACACACACACACACACACACGTGTGCAACATGTCTGTGCTTCCTGCTGTGTCTGTCTGTCAGCGTGTGAAGGCCGTCAAGCTGCTGCGGACTAACATCACGTCCCACTATCTGCTGCCGAGGGTGAGCACATAGGAGGCTGAAGGGGTGATGGCACACTCGGTGCTTTGTGTTTCATCGGTCAGATGGTGGCGCGTCGGATCACCACACTCGCACCTGCCGGACCTCTCGGCGTGGCCCCTCGTAAGTGGCCCCTCGTAAGATGCACACACACACTCACACACCTAAGTGTGGGGAGTATTTGTACTATTGACCACAGGAACTGCCCAGCAATGGTGTCCGCATCTCAGCCATGTTTGTTTCTCGGTGCCTGGTGTCTTGTCTGTCAGGCGGTCGGGCCCGTGCCGATCCACCTCGCTACCCATCGCCGTAAGATGTCCACACACACACACACACACACACATACACGGATGCAGCAAAGCATGTCTGTGCTTCTATCTGTGTCTGTCAGCGTGTCACGAGCGTCAAGGTGCTACAGACCAAAATCACTTCTCACTACCTGTTGCCCAGGGTGAGCAAACAGAAACCTAGTAATGCTCCTCACGTGTGGGCGAATGGGTGGTGACACACTCGCCTTCAATGGTTCGTGCTTTGTGTGTCATCGGTCAGATGGTTTCCCGGCGCATCACCACACTGACGCGTGTTGATCCCGTGGGCGTTGCCCCACGTAAGATGCGTACCCCCCACACATAAGTGTCGAGCGTTTTTGTCCTATTGACCTCTGTTGTTTATATGTGCATGTGTGCAGGCCACCCGGCAGCCAAGTGCTGCGGCTAGACGCAGAGGAGGGAGGGGCAGGTATGATGATGTAGGAAGTTGGGAGCTGGGAGTCGGTAAAAAGAGATGTTCGGTGTCTCAGATATCGCTTCCTACATTTTATATCCCGAGGCGTCTTTTATCTCCCTGGTCTTGCGCATAGTCTCCGCGGTGATTTCAGTCAGAATCTTCGCCACACAACTGAGGATCACATTTGTCTGCCTTTTCTTCAGGGTTGTAGAAGCAGAAGCAGCAGCAGCAGCACACCCCACGGAGTGAGAAAGGTCCTTGCATTCGCTTCCCCTCATTCAGTCGGTCTGCTTGTATGTCTATCTGCCTGTCTGTCAGGCAGCAGGATGGTTCTCCTCCTGCTTCAGGGTGGTTCTCTTCGTGCACAGTCTGTGGATCATGTCGACGCGTCTGGAAACCACCCTCCTCGACGACATTGCTGGGAGAAGGCTGAAGGTCGGCCGAGGTGAGCTGAGCACGAGAACATGTGTTCATCTGTGGGGGAGGGAGGGATGCATCCATGCGTCTCTGTTATGCAGGCCGCAATAGGGGACAAGGGGGGGAGGGCCTGGTAGGAAGCACGGTGCGGGGCACGTGTACGGTTGTGTATCGACTTGATGTGCCCTTCTGCAGGAGAGGACAACAGGACGACGAGCAACAAGGACTGGAACAACAGCAACCAGCCACCACACAGGTATCTGTGAGTGTGTGGTATCTCCCTCTTTATATTGCACTCGGTGCTTCTTGTCTGTCTGTGTCCTGTACACGCGGGCTGCAGCACGCGGGGGAGGCCGAGGAAGAGGAAGACCACCAGCGGGAGACCGACTCTCAGGAGCAGAAGCAGGGGATGGGGCAGCAGCAGCGGCACGAGACCGGTAGGCATTCGGCCGGACTGCATCAGATGTACGTATGCTTTCTCTCTGCTGTTGGTTTGTGTGGTGTAAAGAAGCCAAGGCGGCCAATGACACCCAGGACAACATCGAGGAGGGCGAGAAGCAGATACCCGCCCGCCCCCAACGTGTAAGCCCCCAGAGAATAGTGGCAATCAAGGACCATTCGAGTGTTTGTGTAGGGGGAGATGTCGATTTCCATCCGATTCGAGACATAGACATCACACCAAAGGAGAACCTGGTATACACGCTTGCACAGATCGACATAGCACAACCAAAACACCATTCATTGGCTCGTTCGATGGCAACCTGCAACCATTCATTCCAACATGCAGGCTGCAGTTGTAGGGACGGTGGCCGACCGCGTCGGCATTGACAATATCATAACCGCTCTGGCGACCAAGAACACTGCCAAAGTACGGGAGCGAGCAGACAAACAGACACAGACACAGACATATAGACATTTATTCATATGTCTCTCCCACGTATTTGTGTAGGGGGAGATGTCGTATCCATCACGATTCGAGACGACAACAAACAGTCGACGCCGGTAGGTGGCTATGCAAATGCATTCACATACGTGGCCGGATGAATGTGTGTGGTGATGTGTGTGTGAATGAATGTGGCAGCTTGAGCAGCTTGAGCTGTCAATGTGGTCGATCGTTGTCTACATTTTATATCCTGGGGTCTCTTCTTCCGATTCTCGCGCACGGAGGCGCACAGACAGGTAGGCATTGAGCTCAATTCGTTATTGTCAAATTGTAGACAGGTGGAAGGGGCCGAAACCTCGTCAACGCCCGATGCCCAACGCTACGGGCGAAGGGCCCCGCAAGTCAGTATGGGCTGCCAACTTTTTTACATGCATCATCCACACGGCATTGTCTGTCTGCGCCCCTTTGATTGCAGCGCGCACATCCAAGACGCCATAAAGGAGCAAAGGACGGCAGGGCCATGAACAGGAGACGCATGTGTGTGGTGCATGTGTGTATGCAGGACGTGTCGGCGTCGTCGCCCAGCAAGCGCCGGACCGAGGTACGTATTGCAGCATGTCGTGTCACACAGACGCATCGCTCCTTGTTGATGTTCAGAGACGGTGGCGGCAATCGACGAAGAGGACAAGGAACTCAACGAAGAGGAAGACGAAAAGGTATCCGCCGGAGAGGAACAACCACGGATCCTTTCGAAATAATTTGGTTTGGTTGTATGCAGCCCGACGCGACTGGCGAGGACCTGGAGCAGCTATCCAATGCCGCTGTCGACGGTGAGCAGGAAGATCGAGAGCCGCCGGAGGAGCCGCACGACAAGGAGGACAAGGAAGACATGGAGGCAGACATGGCCATCGCGTGAGCATGAATTAGACAAACACAGCGATGGATGAGACACACGACCAAATGCGATGCTCTCTTGTCTGTCCGTCAGCGAATAAGCAAGCCAATGCTCAGAATGACCAAGATCTGTCACTCAGCCACACCTTCACGCCATCACGCGTCTCTGTCTCTCTCTACTCCGTCTCAGGTCCCTCGAGGAGCTAAATAGGGCGGCCGAGCGGCAGCAGCAGCAACACGAGATGGACAGCCTGCGACGGGAGCGGGACGAGCTGCTCATTGAATGCGAGTAAGCACGCAGAATCGCCATCACGTCGCCAACTACACTGTGACCGGAATGTGTGTGTTTTAAGGCGTCTTCGGGAGGACAAGGAAGACCGACTCTGTGAGCTCCAGTGAGGCGTCCACTGATCGACGGAAGATTCGGTTTGCATTATCCTCTCTTCAACTTCTGCAGGGACGAGAAGGAGAGGTGCCTCAAGCTTGAGGCAGAGGCCGAGGAGAACCGCCACACCGTCGCAGAGTAAGAGGGTAGAGAACACACACCATGGCACACCTACATGTTGTGTGTTTCGTGTTGTCGTCTTTTCCCTCAGGATGAAAGAGCTGCTGGAGAAGGAGAGGGAGGCCCACGAGAGCGCGGAGGCGCGAAGTTCACGCATCACCGAGTACATCACCAGCAAGTGAGGGACCTCTCGCGGCTGCGAGAGCAAATAGATGAACGAGACGTGAGTCGATACCCACGCAGACCCGTGAAAATACAAGGCTGAGGGATTGGTGTGTGGGGGCATGTGTATTGTGTACTCACTCAGGGATGCGTGACGCAGCAGGCCGATCTGCAGGCCAGGGTGGAGAGGAGCGAGTGGCAGAACGGCCTGCTCATGTACGGAGGGGGGCACTTCGATGGGCACAAATGCGTTCGTTCGCTTGTCCATCCGTGTGTGTGTGTCTCTGTGCAGGATGGAGTTGAATGTCTATCGCGAAGAGCTGCTGACACTCAAGGCAAACACAGATTCCCCCTCCTACTGCTGGTGGCAATGGCAATAACATACGCCTGTTGTGTGTGTGTGTGTGTGTTGTCATCAGAACGTGCATCCGCCGCTCACCAGGTTGGCCCCACCAGAAGACCACACGGTCCTCCCCCCACACTTGCAGGTATGCAGGCGTGCGTGCAGACACACGGACAGGAACGGCACTGCCTGCTTGCGTCTTGTGTTTGTGCGTGTAGTTTCGACGTTTCATGCTCTCACAGCGCCGCGCTTGGTCATCCGCCGAGGTCAGCGAAAGAAGAAAGCCAGGCAGGCAGGCAGACATAAACCGCTGTTCGCTCATAGTGCGGACGCATACACTTTGTGCCATCAGACACAGTACTACCAGCAGCTGGAGAGGAATAACCTGCTGACAAGACACGGCCGTCATTGGCATGAGGTGCGTCCAGGCCAGCCGATCTGTGCCAATCTGGACCGAGCGGAAGAGGAAGGTGTGCGGAGCTCTGTGCACACACGGCTGACGGACATACAGAAGCACACGGCTGAGGGAATGGTGTGTGCGGGCATGTGAATTGTGTGTTCACTCAGGGGTGTGCGACGCAGCAGGTCGACTTGCAGGCCAGGCTGGAGAGAAGCGAGTGGCAGAACGGCTTGCTCATGTATGTAGCGGCACGGGAAAGGGCGTGCACCTCTTTCCGCGTCCATTGTGTGTGTGTGTGTGTGTGTATGTGTGCAGGGCACGGCTTCACGTACATCTCAGGCAAACAAACAGAAGGGGGAAAACAATATTGCAACCGTGGAACGTCTCTCTTGTGCGTGTGTGTGTCTCATCATCAGAAGATCCACCCGCCCTTCATCACGATAACATCACCAACACAAGACGCCACCCAGCCACTCTGGCCCTCTCTCTCAGAAGCTCGGGTACACAAGAAAGACACCCGACGTGTCTACAATGGCAGACTTGATCCACCTTTCCTTCTCCATGCCTCTGCAGGATGACGATGGCGAGATGTTCATCCCGAATGAGCTGTGGGAGCCCATCGACCCTCCACGGTTCCGGCCGCTGTCTCCGTCCCCCCCGCCACCATTACCAAGCCCACCGCCCCCTCACACTCGCCAATTCCTCCACCACCACAGCAGCCACACATGTCAGCCCGTGTTGTAGTCTCCGCAGGCACCACACCAGGCACCACCACAACACGCGGCCCTCCCGCCGCAAACGGAGGTATGCAGGCACTCAAACAGGCAGGCACGCAGGCAGGAAGAGCACACCACTGCAGTGTCCATCCATCCCCTGTCGTTCATGTGTTCGTGCAGTTCCGTCGCTTCTTGCTCTCGTTGACGAGAGGTGTGTGCTTCCTCGCTGGACAAGAGCGCTTAGTCTATAGGATGGGGTGTACTTTGACGCCTTGAGGTGTGTGCTTTGAGACATACATGCTTTATGGCCTCGGTTGGGGCAGACGTCAGTGAGCGAGCCCCTAACACCTGTCAATCAACACACACATGTGTTCCTTCTTGTGTGCACTGACTGCATGTCTGCAGACCCAGCATTACCTCCGCCTGGAGCAGGTGTACCTGCTCAATCGGCACGGGAGGCATTGGCGCCAGGCACAAAGGTACATGGGTGCAGAAGTACATGCGGTGTTTTTCTCTTGTCATGCGAACATCTATGGCGTATGTCGTGTTCAGCAGGTGCCGTATGACTGGCGTTTCCCTGTCGTTAGCCAGGTAAGGACATCATCAGTGTGCCCACACACACTCACTCACACACACACACACACACGTGTGCAGCAAAGCATGTCTGTGCTTCCTGCTGTGTGTTGTCAGCGTGTGAAGGCCGTCAAGCTGCTGCGGACAAGCATCACGTCACACTACCTGCCGCCCAAGGTGAGCAAACAGAAACCTAGTAGTGCTCCTCACGTGTGGGCGAACGGGCGATGCCACACTGACCTTCTGTGGTTCGTGCTTTGTGTGTCATCGGTCAGATGGTTTCCCGGCGCATCACCACACTGACGCGTGTTGATCCCGTGGGCGTTGCCCCACGTAAGATGCGTACCCCACACACATAAGTGTCGAGCGTTTTTGTCCTATTGACTTCTGTTGTTTATATGTGCATGTGTGCAGGCCACCCGGCAGCCAAGTGCTGCGGCTAGACGCAGAGGAGGGAGGGGCAGGTATGATGATGTAGGAAAGTTGGGAGCGCGGAATCGGTAAAAGATGTGTTCGGTGTCTCAGATATCGCTTCCTACATTTCATATCCCGAGGCATCTTATGTCTCCCTGGTCTTGCGCCTTATATTAAATCTCCGAGGTGATTTCATCCTGGTATGCACAACGATGGAGCAGACATGAATATGGTGAGACACTGTTTTGTATGCAGGCAGCCGGGGACCCTGATCTAAGGTGAACGTGAGCAGAGTCTTACACACAAACAGGTATCAACCGTACACACCGACCCATCCCGTGTCTGCACTGAAAATGTGTGCTGGTTGTGCAGCGTTCCAGGTCTTTAAACGTAGGCAACCAGCGGTCAGAACCGTCCTTGTTCATCAGCCAAGTGGGATATATATACCTCTCTCCTCACGACTCAGGTGCGTCATCCACTGAAGGCCCGCACACCCACTGAAGCTCTCTCGTGATCGTCCTTCATGTGTGTGTCTGCGTGTCTGCGTGTGTGCGTGCAGGGATTGCTACCAGTCGACGCCAAGCAGCACAAGCTGAGGGACGAGTGCCTCAAGGCTGCGAGTGAGGCGATGGGGAGGGACGAGGGCATGGGCAAGGGTCACGCCTCGACCCAAACGAATGTCGTCGCTGTTGAGGTGAGCAGGAAGGGAAGGCAGGCCACGGGAGAACCTCTGTGTCTGTCACTTTCATCGGTTTCTGTGTTTCTGTATTCCTTTCTGTGTGTCTGCAGAGTAGTGAGGCGCAAACAGAGGAGACGCCATCGCCTCCTGATGCCGTTGACGAGGAGCAGCAGACCAAGATCACGACACCCACCAACAAGGTACGCACGAGTGCGTGCGGTGTCCCTGTGTTGTCTTGCGCAAACCTCCCTCCCTCCTTCCCTGTGCGTGTGGTGTTCGGTAGATTGCGCCCGTGCCGGTGTTGAGTGCGTGGCCGGCACCCGCGCCACTCGCCCCGCCATTCGCGCAGATGCTGGCGGTAAGATGCGTGAATGCGCGCAAATGGATGGTGCATGAGTACACGCTGAAGCTGTCTGCGTCACCTCTTCTCTGTCGTCAGATCAAGCAGTCAATGATAGCGTTCATGATGGCCGAGAGCCAGGCGAAGTACACCAAGAACATGCGCCAGATCCAGGCCACGTATGTCGCCAAGGTAAATGGACTCGTCCATAGACAGCCAAGCCAACAAACCCACCACACACCACACACAACAGAGAGTGTGTGTGCTGTCCATTCGTTCCATCAGGTCCGCGCGCTGGGACCGCCCCCCATCAGCACCCCACACACACTGCCACACGGTAAGAAGCTGCATTGTAGATGGATGGACGCGTTTACGTGGACGTGCGGTTGTTGTCGCTGCATGCAGCTGGCATGGTCCCGAAGAAGGTGTGCTGCCGATAGCCTAGCGGGGCACGACGGGAAGAGGGTACCCACAAGTCGAGTGTGTGGCATCTCTCCCTCTAATCTCATCCACACGCGTGAAGCCCTCCCATGTGTGTCGTGGTGTGTGTTCATGCAGCGGCAGGCATCGTTCGAGGATGACGGTGGCGAGGACAAGAAGGTGGCCCCCGGCACGGCGGAGGCGCGCCTGCAGGCTGCAAACCTTTATGCGAGGGAGGGAGAAACGGTAGGAGCAAGCCCGTGGGACGAAGCTCAAAGCTTACAAACTCGTGTCTCCTCAGACATCGCTGGCTACATTTTATCCTGAGACGAATTTACTGTTGATGCTGACGCTTCACCGCCTGGGCGGTGGCCGAGGGCCATCCAGGTCGGCCGCAGGGTTATACGAGCTCATTTGGTGTTGTTTTTCTCCCGGTTTCTTTCTTTTTTTTGCACCACCCGGTGCCAGGTGGTGCATCAACGATCCTCAGCGTCCACTTCTGCCCTTTCGCCTTCCATCTCTGCCGATTCACATCTCTCAAGGCCATTGACGTCACCAGAACCACCACAAGGCAGGTGAGGAGCTTCCCACACAGCACCAATAGGCCAGAGGTGACGAGCCGCAGCCAAGAGGGCGCGTAACTCATCACACGGGGGCAGAGAGACACTCTTCCGCATGCAGCTGTGTGGTGTTGGTTCCCCCAGAGGAGGTTCTGCTCAAGACGATCAGACGTGTGTCTCGTAGTAAGCCAGCACACAGTGCCAGCACACAGGGGTGAGTGAGGGCAGCCAGGCAGGCCACTGGTCCATTCGATTCATTCAGTGCACATGTCTGTCTGTCTGCTGCGTGTCTGGCCACTCCTGCACGGTGGTTGGTTGGCTGTGCAGCAGCAGGCCCACCACGCCCACAAGGAGCACCAGCAGGACGACCAAGACGATGCAGAGGACGCAGGTACCATTTGAGTGTGCCTGGTCTCAGCGCGCCTGCCTCATGGTCATGCCCTGCTGGTCTGTCGTTTTTTCAGATGAGTTCGCCCGCCACTTCGAGCAGCGGGGAGACCTCCCGCAGGCCGAGGGCGACCAGGACGACAACGGTGGGTGCGGGGGCAATACATTATCGACAAATGCACATTCGTCGATGGGAACTGTGTGTGACACTGTGTGTGTGCGTGGCTGATCCAGGTGAGGAGGCCCGCGAGGTGGCCGCCGAGGAGGAGCAGCGCCGCAAGATGGCCGCCGAGGAGGAAGAGCAGCGCCGCGAGATGGCCGCCAAGGAGGAGGAGCAGCGCCGCTTGAGGGCCGCCGGGCAGGAGCAGCGCCGCGAGGTGGCCGAGCAGGAGGCCGCCGAGGAGGAGCAGCATGAGCAGAAGCGGCAGCAAGGTACGCAGGACTGAGTGACCAGACAAGGCCCCGAATGTGCGCACAAACACCCTGTCGACATTCTTTGCTCATGGGGTCTCTGTCTGTCTGTCTGTCTGCCGGTCTGCAGAGGAGGCGGCCGAGAGGGACAGGGAGGCTCTCGACGAGCAGCACGAGCAGCAGGACGACCAGCAGCCGGCGGCCATCCAGGTATCATCAACTCGACTGCACACACGTCCCTCTGTCCATGTGTGTCCATCTGCCTGCCGTGTGGCAAGCAGGTGCAGCACAAGTACGTCCAGTTGTGGAGTGAGGCCTGGATCCAAGTTCGACCACCCGTTGTTGTGGTGAGGAGATTGTGAATGCATTAATGGCTGATTTTCGCATCAACGCATTTGCTCCCTCCTATGTCTTGTCAGTGGACAACGAGACGAACGTCGCTTATCGCCTGGTGGTGGGTGGAGTGACCACAGGAACTGCCCAGCAATGGTGTCCGCATCTCAGCCATGTTTGTTTCTCTGTGCCTGGTGTCTTGTCTGTCAGGCGGTCGAGCCCGTGCCGATCCACTCTGCTGCACATCGCCGTAAGATGTCCACACACACACACGCGGGCACATTTACTGTGGGGTAGATTTGTATGGGTTCCTTCTGTTTATCTCTCTCTGTGTGAGCAGGGCCGTCGCTGATCAAGACCTGCTGCCGCTGAGGGGGCTGTGCTGTGCTGTGCTGTGCCAACCTGCATGTGTGTGTGTATGAGTGAGGGGGCAAATGGGGTGACTGACTAACTGACTGACGGGCTACTGGCTCTCTCTCTCTCCCTGTCGGTCTGTCTGTCTGTCTGTCTGTCCGTCTGCAGAGGAGGCGGCCGAGCGGGAGGGGCCCGTCGAGCAGGACGACGAGCAGCAGGACGACCAGCAGCAGCCGGCGGCCATCCAGGTATGTATCATCAACTCGACTGCACACACGCCCCTCCCTCCCTCCCTCCATGTTTATTCATCTGTCGTCTGTCGATCTGTGCAGCACAAGTACGTCTACCTGTGGAGCCAGGCCTGGACCCAATTGCGCCCGCCCATCGTCGTGGTGAGGACACTGTGAATGCATTAATGGCTGGTGGATTCATCAACTCGTTTGTTCCCTGCTGTGTGTCTTGTCAGCGGACGATGCGACGAACTTTAGGCTATCGGCTGCTGGTGGGTGCAGTGACCACAAGAACTGCTCAGCAATGGTGTCCGCATCGCATCTCAGCCATGTTTGTTGCTCTGTGCCTGGTGTCTTCCCTGTCAGGCCGTTGGGCCCGCACCCATCCAGCCCGCTGCGCTCAAGGCGGCGGAGCGGCGCAAGGGTCCGTACCTTTGCGCCGATAGATCAGTGGGCGGGGAAAAGAAGGACTGTTTGTCTATGCAGATATCGCTGGCTACATTTTATATCTGGTGGTCTCCTGTCTCCTCGACTTGCTTGCACCTTCGACGGGAAATGTCTGGGTAAGGCATGAATAAGATGAAACAGACGTGAGGCTCTGTGCTGTCTGCATTTGTGTGGGGTGTCTGTACCTTTCAGAGCGGCTGAGGATGATGAAGAGGTTACAGGAATTGCTTGCTGAGTTTTACATCTGGCGGTCTCATATCTCTTTGGCTTCTCGGCTCATGTCTCGTCCCACAAGGTGACTTTAGCCTCCAAACCACGTCGTCTGACTCGTCTCTCTGTGTGTGGTTGTGTCTCTCCTGCGATAGGGCAAAGAAGATGACCAAGACGACGCGGATGACTGCGAAGACACACACACACATAACGAGAGAAAGAGAGAAAGACTGAACTACGCTTTTTTGGTGTTGCGTGCTGTGTGTCTTTTCAAAGGTCACCTTGCCCAAGCAGGACTTGCTGCAGAAGACGGTGACGCGGCTCGTCACGGAAACTGAGGAGTGAGAGTTGACTGAAAATGCTTCCCAGACTTATGAATACCTTCCCTTCGTTCACGCTTCCGCTGTCTGTCTGTCTGTCTGTCTTTGTCAGTCAGCACTCACTGCCGTCATTCGCAATCGCCATGACGAGTTGCGCAGGAAGGGTAATACAATCGGGCACAGGGCACACATGTCGTGTACAGATCAGCAGATGGCCTGTGTCTATCTGTCTGTCTGTCTGTCTGTCTGTCCTGCTGTCGACGGATGGATGCAGCCGAGAGGAGGCAAGTGCGACCTCCGTACACATGACCAAGCTCAGAGCGCAAGTAGCGGACAAGAAAGAGCATCGAGGCCGCTACACACACACTGACCGACCAGAATGCTTGCGTCTTGTGTTTGTGGTGCGTGTAGTTTCGACGTTTCATGCTCTCACAGCGCCGCGCTTGGTCACCCACCGGGGTCAGCGAAAGAAGAAAGCCAGGCAGGCAGGCATACACGGTACAGCCAGCAGCTGGAGAAGAGTTACCTGCTGACCAGACACAGCCGTCATTGGCATGAGATGCGTCCAGGCCAGCCGTCCATGCAAAGCTCAACCCAGCCACATGCTGTTTGGCAGCCCAACTCATGATGTGGGTTTCTTATTCTCTTCGCCTCTGCATAAGGTGAAAGGCATAAAGAGCTTCGCCTGAGTGACAAAGATGCCCTGTGTATGTCTCTCTTCCGTGCAGTGCATCAGTGCACGGTTCAGCGTACAGAGATCTGCTCAGGTTGGTCGGCAACATGATCAATCTCATCGTGCTGATCCGCAAGGACCGATATGTCTTCGGCGCTTACACGAGTGAAAGGCTGCAGCCGCCCGCCCACACCACCACCAGCAACGTCTACCGCACCGCAGTGTGGTTCTTCTCTGTCATCGGCCACTTCGAGAGCAGCTGCGCGTCAGAATCGCCATGTGAGTGATCTCGATAGGCACGAGCCGATCGAGTTGTGCTGTCGTGTGCAGTGTGGAGCGTAGCGTGGGGCCTCTCTTCAACAGATCGGTGTAGGAACTCCTCAATCCCCTGGTAGCACTTGTTCGCACACGTCGACAGGAAGCCTGATATTCATTCCGTGTGTGTGGGTGGGTTATGTAATGGGTGCAGCCACATGTGCCGCTGCCGCTTCCTGTCGGCAGCTCGTTGCGACTGTGGGAGCGCGAGGCGCTGAATTTCCTCGTCGGCAACCGCAGAGCAAGCCTCGAATCGCTCTATCGGTAGGCAGGCAGGCACGCACACACGCACACACGCATCCCCCCCACCACAGATGTTGCATTGTGCTGTGTCAGAGCCACCGTGCACGGTGGTGGCTTTGCCGTGCTGCTGTAGCGAGTTCGCGAGAAGAGCCCCTTGCTGCTGCTCATCCGCCGTCCCAATTCCACTCGCAGTGTGTTCGGCGCCTACATCCACGAGGGCCTGCAGCCCCCCGCCGACGCGACCGCCACCAACACGTACAGCACGACCGTGTGGTTCTTCTCATCAATCAGCAAGACTTGCCGAAGCGGTCAGTGTCTGTCGGCCCTCATCAACACGTTTGATCAATTGGTCGGCTTGCTGAAGCGGTCTATGACATGACAGTATGACAGTATGCGTACACACGGCGGAAGTGATAGAGATGGTTTTCTTATCGCTGCCTTCATTTTATATTGGACAGTCAGTGACTTGTTTGATCGATGAGACCCTTGCGTGCATCGAAAGACGTCAATATATTGATGTCGTTGACACATGATGAATCGCAGAAATGCAATGTCGGCAAGAAAAAGAAGAGACATGTCAAGCAGCACAACAGTCAATGAGAAATGCGAGCAGCCATTTCACCACTTCACCACTAAAAAGCATGCAGAATTTCCAGCTCATCGGCCACAAACAACTCACTGCCCCCAAACAGCGCCCTCCCCTTATCGTCCCTCTTCCCTCGAAAGCCATCAGGCACATACTGACGGGCGCTGCGCTGCCCGCAGCTGCGGATATCGGCAGCAGCTCCATTGCCCTGCCCGTCATAGCCCAGCCACAGGAAGTGATCGGCCACGTAGTCGCCGATCTTGATGTGCGCGACGCCGCCCGCGGCCCCCGACTGGCCGTCCACATACACCAATTGGTGCTTTCGTGGAATGAAAATCTTGGTGACTTTGCCGAAGTGCCCGATCATCGAGTAGGGCCACACATTGCAGCGATACAAATTGGAGCCGGTCGCATCGGCCGGCGGCTGCAGTCCTTTACTCGTGTAAGCGCCGAAGACATATCGGTCCTTGCGGATCAGCACGATGAGATTGATCTTGTTGCCGACCAACCTGAGCAGATCTCTATACGCTGAACCATGCACTGATGCACTGCATGGAATGACATAGAAAACCCAGAGAGAGACACAACTAAAGAGACATGAGTGAGGGATACATGATCTGTTTGCCTACCGATAGAGCGATTCCAGTTTCTTCTGGCGGTCACCGAGCAGAAGACAGAAACCTTCATACTCCCACAAACGAAGGGAGCTGCCCACAGGCGGAGTCTTCGGTACACGCGGCTGCAAAGACGGTACGCACGAGCACATGATAGAGTACTTTTCAGCTTGCTGTGTGGATGATCTCTCTTTGCATACCAGGGGAGTGAGAAGGCATTGCGATCAGGATGCCGTGACCGCCAGGTCGCCGACATTGCGCTCCACACTGCAGCCGATTAAACAATACAGAAGAAGAGAGTAATGAACACTCATAACCCTCTTATTACCACGCTTTTGCTACGCAGTATACCGTCTCCCTCCGCTTCTGTCTTACATACGTGTTGATTCTCATGACGAGATCGTCCCTGGCCTCCCACTGCTGGGCGACCGCATCTCGACCCATATAGTTGCTGCGAACGTCCACCTTTATCGTTTCGACTCTGATAGACAGACAAACAATTAAATGCCGCCGTACATGTGATCGGCTGCTGTGCAGTGTCTGCTTACCTGCATGTGGGGCAGATGACCGCCCTTTCGCCCTGCGCATTGGGCCGTGTCAGTTTGCCAATACACTGAAATCAGATGGATACAGGAGACACAGAGTGAGACGAATATATACACACTGAGGAACAGAGAGGGAGGGGCTGAGCGGCGGTGTTTTCCCTCACCTTCGAACAGGACGAGTGACCTGAGAACCAACAAAGAAACAAACCATCATCAAGCCCGTCAAGGTTGCCCCACACGAAGGCCCCCCACACACAGACATTCGCTGACCGCATCTGAGTATCTTTGGTGCCTTCTCGCCATGGGAGTGGTACTCCTCTTCATACACGCCACACGTGCAGACGACCGGCGCGGCCTTCGAACCGATGAGTGGACGCGACGACACAAACATGCCGATGTGCGTCCGGCCGGGCGCCTCTTGTCCTCGCCGTATGACCTGCAGTCATAAGCGACCGTTTCCCCAAATGCGAGCTTACAATGGGGATCTTAAGCGTAGGAGCCCTGGGATGAGAGAAGAGGTGTGATCTGAGAAGTGTGATCTGAGGTGCAAGAGAAGAGGTAAGAGAGCCGACAGTCAGAATTTCTGTGATTCATCACCAAGCGACCTCGATTGTCTTCAGCTTCTGGGTGAGATCTGCAGTAGATCTACCCCTCGATGGCGTCCAGAATCACGGAATGCGCTGTGTGCAAGGAACCCTATCTATGGTACGGCAGCAAAACACATGCGGAGAGTTTCATCTATCTCTGCCCACATACTGTGCTTTGTCCATTCTCATTCATTCAGGCCATTCGTTCTGCGCAGGGGTAATGTTGCTGACGGCCTGAGAGTGTCAGGCCTTCCATCGGTGTGTGTTGCTTTGGTGTGTGTGTCAGTGCATTCATGAGATCATGACCCGCGAAGCTGTCTACCGCCAGGACCCTGTTGGGCATCGGGTGTGCCCCTGTCCCATCTGCAGGTACACCCGCCGGCACACAAAGTGACTCACACATGGATGGCAGATTGGCAGGGGGTTATACATTTGTGCGTGGGGCGTGGGTTGATCAGGGTCGTTACGCCCGAGCTGTACGTGAAGGACAACTACATGGGCAGAGAAGCCGTGTTTCAGCAGTGGGAGTTGGTCCACGCAACCACCCCTAGCGCCATGGGAGGAGGGCAGACAATACGTGATCAAATCACACGGTGAGTGAGAATGCATAGCACACCATCCAGGCATGCTCCTCGTTGATGTCTTGCTGATGGGTTGCAGGGCTGAGCGACAAGTGGGCGACCTGTACTTCGACACTGCTTCAAAGCGATCACTCGCGCCTCTGGTGTGTCCACACATAGACAAAGACGACTCGCAATGCCCCTGGCATCATCTGTATTTTTGTATGTGTGTCGTCACACAGCCTGCTGTGTGCGCGAGCACGTCCCTCTCGGTTTCACAGTATTATGGGCTGCTCCACCTGTTTGGGGATAGCAAGATCAAACTCGTGTCGCTCTACCGGTAGGTCTGAAGACAGGCCGCCAGAACGCCACATTGACGCGGTGTTTCTGTGTCTGTGGCAACAACATGGCAGCTCCTCTATCCACGGCAACAGTTATGGCGACCTACTGTTCCGAGTCGGCAACAAGAAGGGCCTGGTGTTCATAATCCACAAGGAGCAGACCATATTCGGCTGCTCGATCGGTGGCGGCCTCCAGCTGCCAGGCGGCACCTTCGGCGGCCACCGCTACGCGAGTGACGTGTGGCACTTCTCACTGGCAGGCCACTACACCCGCCCAACTAAGATCGAAATGCCCCGGGCTGACCAGTTCGTCTTCACGACGGGCACAGTCAAGAACGTCGCGTCCGCGGCGAATGTGGTCATCGGAGTGCACCTGTCGCTTGGCGATGGCGGTGTGGGCAACCCGCCGGCTGGCAGCATATGTGAGTGCCGACAGTACACATGCAAGCACAATTTGCCGGACGGCTATCGCGGGGAGAGAGATCGGGACGGTGACGCAGTGCTTGGGGGGGCCATTGCCTTCACGGCGACGGAGATAGAGGTGCTGCATGTGACCAAGTGAGGCCACCAATGCCTGCCTTGCGTCTGATAGGAGGGACGGGAGGGGGGATTACTCGGCTGTGGTGTGTCTGGCATTTTGGTGATTGGTTTCTCTGCTCTGTTTGCGACGCCTGAGTCTGTCATGTAGCCTGATCTGACATCCCTGTGCTCTGTTTTGGGTGGCTGAGACACTTGGTGAGACGTCCTCGTCGGATGGGCATCACTCTCAGTGACATGCACAGCGCGCGATGCGCCCTTTGTCAAGTGCCGCTGACATGTTCGCCCGTCAATGAGTATCCAAAGGCGTGTGTCCGTGCGTGTGAGTACACCAAATAAGCAAATGAGCATATCTGTCTCCACGTGCACGGCACCCCACAGTACACAAATGTCAATTCCCAAGCCAATCCTCATGACGGCCTGAAACGGACATGCACATGAAGTCTGTCTACCGGTTTGGTATCTATTGCTGTGCGACAAGTGAAGCGAAGAGCAGGTCAGGTCAGGTCGTGTCTATTGGCTCACTCAGTGGCTGGCGAGCCACCACACACACCGCACATGAACACACACACTGATCCTGTCTGTCGGTAGCTAGCTGACTGAGTGCTGCGGCCCCAGACCTCTGTGTGTGTGTGTGTGTGCGTGTGAGAAGTACAAAAGGTTTGCCACACTTGACGTGACGTACACATCAGTCCACACGGAGAATCCTCATCGCAAACGCACGAAGGCCACATCCACACCCACACCCACCACATCACGCAGGCAGACGTGAGAGTCATGCTGTGTGTTGTGTTGTGTTGTGTGTTGGTGGTCAGGAGATAGACACGAAGTACGACCGTCGCCACGCCTCACGCACCATCGTAGTGATGATGATGATGATGACGGTCATAACCCTGATGGTCGCGGCAGACACACCCACACCACAGCCATCCATCCATCCAGCGAGTGTCGCCACACGAGTCACGGAACCAACTGGCTGCCTGCCTATCTCCCTGGTGACGGCAAAATAACCCACACTCCCAGACAAAAGCGTGCTGTGCTGTCTGTGTCGGCTCATGTGATGGTATGTATGCTGTGTGGCGGCCGGCCGGCCGGCCGGCCGGCCAGCCAGCCATGCCCAACTGCCATCTTATGCCATGCCAGTAAGCCGCAAAAATGAAAAAAAAAACTACGGATACAGATCTTATCTGCATAAGAGTACATGTGTGTGTGTGTGTGTGTGTGTGTGGTGGTCGGCCAGCCATACATGCGAAGCGTCTGTGTCATCGTGTGTGCTTCTCTCGGTTCTCGCCGCCGCACACCACCGGTGCAGCGATGTCGAGCTCGGGAGAGCACACAGAGAGAAGACACAACCACACCACAAGAGGTGAAGCATCTGACAGGCATTTCCCCGCCAGAGAGTGCTCGTCGCGGCCCTTTCTTTCTTGCAGGAGCATCCACACACATCGCTCACTCACTCGCTCGCTCGTCAGCTCATCGACCTGTCTGTCTGTCTATCAAGCAGGCAGCCATGAATTGACCATCCAGCCATCCAGCCATTCATCCCAGAGAAGTGGCACTTCTCTCTCCCTGTCCCTCTCCCTGTCCCTGTCCCTCTGCCCCTCTCCCCCCACCACCCTCCCTCTCTCTCCCTCCCATTGTGGCCCACGTCAGCCATTCATGCAGCATGCAGCAGCCAGACTCTCAATTCGTTCGTTCGGCAGGCAGACAGGCAGACAGACAGACGGACGGGCGGGCGGGCGGGCGAGTAGATCGACAGGCAGATAGACAGGCAGGCAGCCGGGCGAGACGATGGCACCGACAGACATGTAGGCCAGCGAATCGCATGGGGCAGTGAGTGATGCAGTGAGTGAGTCAGCGAGTAGTCAGTCACTGTAGAAGAGCAGCCCTTCCCCTCCAGACCCGCCGCCAGTAGATAGAATGCGTGCCACGAGGCGTGTCCCCTCCCTCCCTCCCTCTCCTCCACTTCGACAGACGAGTAGGCTATGGAATCAGTCAGTCAGTTAGTCAGTCAGTCGGTCGCGCAAAAGGCCAAAAAACGAACAGATGAAGGGAGGGAGGAAGGATGAACCAATCGGCCAGCCACCCAGGCAGGCAGGCAGGCAGTCAAGAGGAAGGAAGGAGTCAATCGAGGCGGCCAGTCGTCGTCCAATCGCACCACACACACCAAGAGCACGCATCTCACGAGCCAAATCTGGATCCACCCACTTACCCATCCACTCGACCAGCCCAATGCGTGTAAGTGTCTTTGTGTGAGTGTGTGTGCGCCCTCTCCATGGCCTTGACCCAATTTCCCCAACCACACCATCCATCACCCACCATGCATCACCCGCACACGCGTCACAGGGAGGGAGAGAGCGGCAGACTGAGAGACACCGAGAAACCGCAGGCAGGTGCTGACCACACAGTGAGTCAGGCAGGCAGGCAGGCAGGCAGTGAGTGAGTGAGTGAGGGCGGGAGCGGTGGAGTGAGCGAGTGATCAGCGGCAGCAGGCCTTGACGCTTGTCCCTGCACACGGTCATTCAACAGCAAAGGTCAGTCAACACACAATTAAGTGTCTGTCCGCCTTATTCGCCGCACTCGTATGTGTATATGTGTACGGTGAGTGCATCTCACGTCGGCGGTGGTGAGCAGCTGGCGGCGTCATGGTGGGCAGCGGCAGCGACTGACAACACACAACGCACCAGGGAGATCCCTCATGAAGACCTCCTCCCTGACGTCCATCCATTCACCCACCGGCTGTGGGAGCCAGCTGTGTCTCAGGATGGTGGGCGGGCGACTGGGCGAGGGCACGACCGCCTGACACACCAGGCACACAGAGACAAACAGAAAGCGCGAGATGCGGACACACATCAGTCCATCCATCCACTCATGTGTGTCGCTCACGAACCACCACTCTGTAGCCAATGGTTTTCGTGATGACGCGCTGACACAACACAGCAGGAAGCGACAATGGGTGTGTGTACGTATGGACACACTGATGATGCGCTCACCGTCGCTAGCACGACTCCAGGAGTCCATCCAACGGCCTCTGGCGCCTGCTCCTCTTGGTCCTGCTGCTGCTCGCCCTGCTGCTGCTGGGCCTGCTGCTGGACCACCACCTCAGCGATCTCCGGCGCCTCATTGTCGACCTCAGGCCGCTCGTCGTCCTCTGCAATCCATCAGTGGGCGTACACACAGAACAGACATCCGTTGACTTGACATGTGTGTGTCTTCATGCCCATGCGGTGAATACGTACCTGCCGCCAGCTCGGCTCTGTCGTCGTCAGGCCGCTGCTCGTCTGAATCACCCAACGCAACAATGGCAAGGCCTTTATCCTTACCCTCTCAGACATCAACGCACTCTTACCGTCGCCGTGACCGCCCAAAAACCACTGCGGGTGGCTGTGAACAGTGTGGTCGTGCTGTCGCTGGTCATCCTCTACCCAGACATCTGCAATCGATACACACAGCCCAACACACAACGGTGTGTGTGTGCATAGTGATGTGTCGCCCTCACACACACAGACATACCCTCGTGGTCATCCGAGGCCTCCTCGTCGATGCCCTCCCGCTCGGTCCGCTCCACGGCTGCAGCACCACAGACACAGTGAGCACGTCCATCTCTGCCGTGCGATGATCACTGATTGATTCCTCCTACCCGCCCTCTGCGCGGCCGTCGCGTCGTCTTGCTCCTCTCCTGCAGAAATGACATGAGACAACGAACACGGAAGCCCCCATGTGCTATAGGACAGATGTACGCGTATCTCTCTAGGTATTGACGTAGTACCTTCTTGTTTCTCTGGGCTGTGGTCGTCCTCTTGGTCGTCCTCCTGCTGCTCGGCTGGCTGGGCGTGGAAGGCAGGCTGCTGCACCCGACCAACCACACACACAGGCCACAGAAGGGCAATGTGTCTGTGTTTGTGTGCGTCACGATACTGCTGCTCGTGTGTGGATACCTTGGGCTTGGCCTTGGCCGTTGGTGACGCGGGGAGGGACTCCTGCACACATGGGAGACAATGGGACGATGGTCGGCGTGTTCGGCTGCCCTTCGTGTCATTCTGGCTCACGTACCCTGGTCGACATCGTCCCCATGGCGACACCCTGCACACACACACGACAACACACGCAGACAGCAGCAATGGACCTTAGTTGTGTCAGACTTCTCTTCTCCCCGAAGCATTGCTGGCTTGTGCTTGGTGTCGTTGGTGTCGTCGTCGTTGGTGTTGGTGTCGCCCCGGCCTGCACACAACATATAAGCGGCAACCACAATGAGTGTGCGCGGCACGTGTGGCTGGACTCCATATATATCTGTTACCCGCTCCAGTGTCCTCTGACTGTTGTAGCTTGACGCCGCCGAAGGCCAGGACCTGCTGCATGCGATGGGCTGCATACAGTCAGACAAAACAAACAAGACGGACGGACACATACAATCTCCCGCACTCCACTCCACCACACACACACACACACACACATACCAGCCGCTTGGTCGTCGGTGTCGCCATCTCGTAGGTCCCTCTCGCCTCGCATTAGATAGGCCCACATGGGCACCCTCCGCTCGTCTCCCGGCAGCCACCCTTCAGGCGGGGCTACAACAAACATAAGATGACGGAGAGTGAGAAGCAACGAGTGTGTGACTTCTTTCTTTGCTGTCCTGTGCACACCTGCCGGGAGGAGCTCCTCCGGCTGGCCATGCTGCTGCTGCTGTAGAGGTGGTGGCGCTTGTGTGTGGCTGAGGTTGGTGATCATCTCCTCCCACTTGCCCTGGAGGTTCTCCTTGTAGAGGAGCACCTGCTTGTCGGCGCAGGCCACGGCGAGGAGGCTGCCGGAGACGGACCAGTCGACGCGCCTGACGGGGCCGTCCAGCTGGATCACCTGGGCCTTCTTCCATGGCTGACCCTCCATCTCCTAACACACACAGACACATGCAGTGATTGGTGCCTATAGGGGGCTGTGTGTATATATGTGTGTGTGTGTGTGTGTGTCACCTGTGTCCAAATGATGACCGTCTTGTCCTCTGAGCATGAGGCGATGGTGCTGCTGGGGGCCCCCACTATGTTGGGCCGCCATGCCACGTCCCTGATGACGTCAGTGTGGCCGTTCTCCGCGTCGATGCCCGCGAGCTCGACCCACTTCTGGGACCGGTCGTCGTACTGCCACAGCTTCACCTAAACACACACACGACATACACTCTACCACACACCTATGATGTACCAGTGGTCTCCCTCCCTCCCCTCGTCCATCGCCCATTCGTTCACCTGGTTGTCGGCTCCGCCGCTGACCATCCTCATGGGACCGAGTGATGGCCCGTGTGTGGCGGGGCCGCTGGGGGCCCAGGATACGGCGTTCACACCGTTGGTGTGGGCGTGGAACTCGGTGCGCACCCACTGCTGGTCGGCGGGGCTGTGATGCAGAATGCCGATCTTGCCGTCAGACGACGCTGCGACACACACATAGAGAGAGAAGAAAACGAATGCGTCATCAGATCTCCCTCTCCTCTCTCTGTCGGTCGGTCACCGAGTGTTGGTCACTCACCTGAAGCGAGATACGGCCCGTACTGCCACGGCGCCCAGGCCACCCCATTGACGGACGCCCCGTGGTCTTGGCTCTCGTAGACCAGCTGCCAGTTCTCGCCCTGCCCGCCGTCTGCCCCTCCCTCGTGGCTCATGCCCATCTCCTTCTTCCACACGATGAACCCTCTTGTCGGAGCCGCACGACGCCAGGCAGCTGCCGAACTTGGGGTGCGACCAGGTCACCTGCCACACGGGGCCCGCGTGGCCCTTGAGCTCCGCCACGAACGACGGCCTCTCCGTCGACACGTCCCAGATCCGGATGGACTGGTCCGCCGACGCAGTCGCCAGCCGCTTGCCGTGGTGGTCCAGCTGCGCGTCGTGAACCGGTCCGCCGTGGGGAGCCAGGTCGAGGGCTGCGATGAAAACTGAGGGAGGGGCGAAGAACAAACAGAAAGATACGCCTCAGATGCGACATCCCATGTATCAAGAGTGCCCACCTAGGCAGTGCTCGTTAGTGCTACTCATGATGCCTGAGTGAATAAACACAGAGACACTATGTCTCGGGCACCCCCTCCGACTCTCCTTCCTGCCGGCTGATGTCATGCTTACCGGTGTGTGCGTATGTGTGTGCAGAAGAGTCCCGTTCCTGCACACACAGAGATCGACACCTCAAGTGAATTGGCGCCCCGTTTTTCGGCTCTTTTCTGTCTGTCCTGTCGTGCCTCGCTGCCGTGGCCTGCCCTGACGTGCAGATGGGTGTGAGTGACCGTGGCACAGGCTGATCTGCGAGATGGTCACCGACATGGCGAGGAGGTGCGAGAGTGACGTGCCCACCGACTCACCTAGTGCAGGTCTTCTCTTCGCTTGCTCCGCCTGCTATGAAATTCGCCAAGCAGCTGCGAGCTTTGGTTGCGAGCTTGGCTTGACAGGAAGCTGAAGAGCGTTTCTGTCTGCCGAGTGCGTCATCATATTCGACAAGGTGAGCGTGAATGAGTCTCACCAGAAGAATGAATGATTGCATCTCCTCAGGTGACACACTGAGAGCAACAGCAGTGTGTGTGAGCCATGTTCCCGTCACCCCCTCGACGACCTTGGAGGCCCAGCGCTGTAAGGAGGGAGGAAAGAATGCGACCGCTCCAGATCCAGATCCAGATCCAAATTCGGTTGTGTGTTTCAGTTCCGAGGGAGGGACCGGCCGCCTGATGCGGCAGCTGATGAGGAGGGGGAGGGCAAGAGGAAGCCCGTCCAAACAGTGGTAGGCCATCAGCCCACCGATGTGTCATGTGAAATGGTGGAGAGTGTTCGTTTGTATGTGTCCTGGTGCCACACATCATATCCAGGAGGCTCCAGGGAAACGGCAAGAGAGCACCCAGGTAGCCACCCGCCCGCCCCACGATATGCATACGCACATGCTGCTGCTTGTTGATGGCTATGTGCAGCCGCAGCAGCAACAGCATCAGGGGCCGCCACACCACCACCACCAGCAGCAACAGCAGGCAGCTGCTGCTGATGAGGAGGATGGTGACTATGAGGGGCTCGAGCTGCCCGACGCAGCGGTAGGGTACCTATTTGCAAACTCGGGGGTCTCTCACCCGACTGCTGGCATGGGTGTGCACGCGTGTACAGGAACTGTTCGCATCGATGGACCGGCTACAAGCCGCCCAGGTACGTACGACAGCGCACCATGTCGTGTGTCTTGCCAATTGCATACGCACACACACACGCGTCGCTCCCTTTGCGTCCTCTGCTGATTGTGTGCAGGTGCAGCAGCAGGGGGCGGTGGCGGCCATCGAGGACGGGCCGATGGAAAACGACTCGCAAGACGATGAGGTAAGTCGTTTTGCGAGTGAGTGAGTGAATGAATGAATAAATGAATGTTTCGTTCATCTGGTTGTGTCCAACAGGCCTCTCAAGCACCTGCCGACGATGCCGAGGAGCAGGAGGAGGAGAGCGAAGGCGAGTCTGGGGACGACGGTAGGTACTCGCGCACTCAAACGACAATCATCTCCCTCTATGCGTGCATGGGTATTCCTTGCCTCCTGCCTCTCTCTGTCTGTGTGCAGACAACGGCGAGGGGGACGACACCGAGCTGCCTGAGCCTACGGTAACGCACTTGCTCACAGGAGTGTGTCATGTGACATGTGCATGCATGTGTGCATGCAGGGCGTGGCGGCGTCCTCGAGCACCCGACGCGACAGCAAGGTATGTACTAGCTATCACAGCATACACATGGATACACACACACGTCGCTTCTTGTGTGTGCTGTGTTGGTTGCGTGCAGAAGGAGAACCTCTGGCACCCAGGCATGCCGTCCATCGGTGAGGACAGGGAGCTGAGGGAGGAGGAGGACTCGGAGCCGGAGGAGGCCGAGTGGGAGTCAGAGGAGGCCGAGGTAACCTGGTAGTACTGAGTTGAATAAATGAGCAGTGCATAGCAGGTCCATCTTTTGGCTGTATGTATGCAGTCGTCTGGGGGAGAGGAGGAGGGGGACGAACTCGACCAGCTGTCAGTTGCGTCCAACTTCGGCGATGAGCAAAAGCTCGAGAGGGACATTGACGACAGCGGCGACGACGACAACGACATCGACGACGACGACGGCGATGATGATGATGAAGAGCAGGACTCGCACCAGGCGAGAAACGTGCTGGACGCTAAACGAAGAATGTCATGACATCTCTTGTACATGTGTGTGTGTGCAGGAAGCGTCGCCCGGCCCCACTGCCCAGCAACAGGAGACGGAGGTACGCAGGAAGAAATGACACACTTATGGTGGCCTGCCCATATACACACGCCTCTTATTGGTGGTCGTGACTTGTCGTGCATTCCCGTGTGTGTGTTGTGATGTTGTGTGATACTTGTGTGCAGCAGCAGCAGCAGGAGGTGGCAACATCAGCCACGCAGGACCAGCACCAGTCAGCCACCCAGGTATCCAAGGATGGTTTTGTGTCCGTCTGTCTCCTCTAAGTCACACGTGTCGCTCTTTCTTGTCATGGTTGTATACAGCCTCGCCCATGTGTGCAGGAGTCCCTCCCAGCCTCCCCCACCGCCAAGCCGAAGGCCAAGGTATGCACACACGAGAGAATCAGCAGTGTCGTGACGCACACAACCACACACACACACACACACATTACCCTTCTCGTGTGTGGTTGGTTGGGTGCAGCAGCAGGCCCAGCCAGCCCACCAGCAGGACGGCAGCCACGACCACAGCCAGCCAGAAGGTACTACGTCAATATCTAGAGAGATACGCGTACATCTGTCCTATAGCACATGGGCGCCTCCCTGCTCGTTGTCTCATGTCATTTCTGCAGGAGAGGAGCAAGACGACGCGACGGCCGCGCAGAGGGCGGGTAGGAGGAATCAATCAGTGATCATCGCACGGCAGAGATGGACATGCTCACTGTGTCTGTGCTGCTGCAGCCGTGGAGCGGACCGAGCGAGAGGGCATCGACGAGGAGCCGCCCGAGGGTATGTCTGTGTGTGTGGGGGCAACACATCACTGTGCACACACACACCGTTGTGTGTTGGGCTGTGTGTATCGATACAGACATATGGGTAGATGACCACCAGCGACAGCACGACCCCACTGTGCACAGCCACCCGCAGTGGTTCTCAGGCTGCCACGGCGACGGTAAGAGTGCTGTGCGTTGATGTCTGAGAGGGTAAGGATAAAGGCCTTGCCATTGTTGCCTTGGGTGGTTCAGACGAGCAGCAGCGACCTGACGACGGTGCTGAGCTGGCGGCAGGTACGTATTCACCGCATGGGCATGAAGACACACACATGTCAAGTCAACGGATGTCTTTTCTGCGTGTACGCCCACTGATGGATTGCAGAGGGCGACGTGCGGCCTGAGGGCGACAGTGAGGCGCCGGAGATCGCTGAGGTGGCGCCCCAGCAGCAGGAGCAGCAGGACCAGCAGGACCAGGATGTGCACGTGCCACAGAGCCTCGAGTGGACACCGGGAGCGGTCATAGCGACGGTGAGCGCATCATCAGTGTGTCCATACGTACACACACCCATTGTCGCTTCCTGCTGTGTTGTGTCAGCGCACCATCACGAAAACCATTGGCTACAGAGTGGTGGTTCGCGAGCGACACACATGAGTGGATGGATGGACTGATGTGTGTCCGCATCTCGCGCTTTGTGTTTGTTTCTGTGTGCCTGGTGCGTCAGGCGCTCGTGCCCTCGCCCAGTCGCTCGCCCACCATCCTGAGACAGAGCTGGCTGACGCAGCCGGTGGGTGAATGGATGGACGTCAGGGAGGAGGTCTTCATGAGGGATCTCCCTGGTGCTTTGTGTGTTGTCAGTCGCTGCCGCTGCCCACCATGACGCCGCCAGCCGCTCACCACCGCCGTGAGATGCACTCACCGTACATATATACACGAGTGCGGCGAATAAGGCGGACAGACACTTAATTGTGTGTTGACCCTTGCTGTTGACTGACCGTGTGCAGGCCCGACCCTGAAATCCAGCTGCCGATGATTGATGACTTCCCTCCCTCACTCACTGCGTGCTCTTGGTGTGTGTGGTGCGATTGGACGACGACTGGCCGGCCTGCCTGCCTGGGTGGCTGGTCTCTCTCAGTCATCCCACCCACGTGTGGCCGTAATCTATCTAAGCGTAATCTGTCTTCTCCCCTCTCCACCCCTCCACGCCGTCCGTATATATATCGTCTTTTTCTTTCGACGACCGACCCACAGCAAACACGCGGCTCGGCTCGGCTCGGCCGTCCTCCCAGCTCTTTCTCAGTCACCCCACCCACCCACTCAGTCTGATTGATCGATAACACGCGCGCACGTGTGGCTATGCAGTGGGTTGACGGCTGGTGTCTGTGGTCTGAGTGTGAGGGGCAGCGGCTAATGGTGTGTCCGTCGTGCGGTGGTGTACAGTGCTTTAGCATGACATGACATCATCTTGGGGATGATGACAAACAATGATGATGACCGATTGATTATGAATTTGATTTTTCGCAGTGTGGTGTGCCGTGGGGGGCGTGTCGAGTGGACGGATGGCATGGATGGCATGGGAGCCATGCCATCCATGAGGCTTGTGGATGGATGACGATGATCGTACGAGTGTGTTCGCTGCCTGGCTGGATGGATGGATGTGTTAATTGATGTGATCGCTCGGCCTTTTGCTTTGTTTTGTGTGTGTTGTTGATGTGATGTCATCGTATCAATGGAATGGTGAATATATATGGCTGGCTGACTATCGGGGAGAGAGGGGCATAAGTTGTCCGTCCACCACACATCACATCAGTCACCACCACCCCAGCCACCATCACCCCCTACTCACTTCCTAATCCCTACTGACTCGACCGTCCATGGAATGCTATCTATCTCATGGCTGACTGGATCGGGTCATGATATCTATATATTCTTGATGGAGGGATGGATGGAGGGATGGACGTGGCGTGGTCGGTTGGTTGGTTTTTCGTCACTCATGCAACGCACATACACACGACACACATGTCAGTCAGTCAGGAGTGGTGCACTGCACTGCACTCCACTCCATACGTACGTACGTATCTATGTGTGCGTCGGTAAGTTCGTGTGTGTACTCCACGGATGGACGCACAAGGAGTGAGCGAGTGAGCGAGGTGTCCACTCCAGTCCACACCACATCCCATCTCGCTCTCTCTACCCCTCTATCTCTACCTATAGCTCGGCTGCATGGCCGCAAGATTGCTGCGTGATGGATGCCTTGATTCTTGACTCTCGTGACTGCCAAACGGACCTTTGGGCTGTCTGTCTCGGCCGCCCCAGCCAGCGCACACGTGGACACACCACACCACACCGTCACTGTGTGAGGGGGCGACTGAGATGACTTTTCTTGATGCACAAGCGTGACTCGCGTGAGAGATTGCTACTCTGGACACACACAGACAGACACGTACTCAAAGGAGTGCCTGGATGGCGGGACTGACGGACGGGAGGGGCGATTGGTGTGTTGTCTGTCTGGCTGGTTTGTGCACATGCACACATACATACGCATGTGCGTCGCTCGGTTTTTCTCTCTGTCTGTCGCTACTTTTCTTCAATCTACCCCCCCCACCGGGCCCCCAGTCATCCATGACAGCTATAGATGTGTCCGTCCCCACATATGGTTGAGGGATGGGCCAAGGGCCGGCTGTCAGTGAGTGCGATCTGGTCACGTTTGATGCACACACATCCATCATCCATCCACCTAGGCCTGGCGGGGGAGAGGACAGGGTGTTGTTGGTCATCTTGAGGCCACACGATGGCTGCCGTGGGGGCAGTGTGTGGTGTGCAGTCGACTCGACGTGCGTGACTGATCGGTCAATCGATGAATGGAGTATGTATACGTATGCTGGGTGCACAGACAAACACAAGAGAGAGCCTTGCTTGGACCACTCTGATGGCGGCTGCTTGGCTGGCTACACATACGCGCGTATGTGTGGGTGTGGCCTGCGTGTGTGTGCAATGAGGATTCGGGTCCGTGTGGATGGACTGATGTGGACGTCAACTCAAGTGTGGCGTCCTGACCTGCCTTTGTTTGTAGTTGCCACACACGCACACCCACACAGGTCTGGGGCCGCAGCGCTCAGTCAGCTAGCTACCGGCAGACAGGATGAGTGTGTGTGTGTTCGTGTGCGGTGTGAGTGGTGGCTCGCCAGCCACTCAGTGACCGAATAGACACAACACGACCTGCTCTTCACTTCACGTGCCGCACAGCAATAGATACCAAACCGGTAGACAGACTAGCTCTTGCATTCCTGAAAGTGAGTCGCTTTGCTGGGTTATGTGTGTCTGTCCGCCTGCGGGCCTTCCTGCCTCTCTGTCTTGCTCTTGTTTTTGCGGGCATCATGTACACAATAATGGGCGGGCAGGGTGGATGATCACCGCAGTGCCTCGTATCCATTTTGCGTGTGTGTGTGTGTGTGTGAGGCCGGCTATCTGTCTGACTCGCCGGCCAGCGACCGCGTGACCTCCTTGACCGACCGGCCGATTGGTGCACACCTTAGCTGTTTGTATGTATGTGATCCCTCCCATGTTTCCTCTCACTTGCTGGCTCGCTCAGCGACTGACTGACTCCCTGGCGTGTGTGGCGATGAATGCTGTTGCCCTCATTGATCAACACACACCCAACACACACACATAACCTGACCGGTTCCACACACTGATTTGCTGTCATGTACCTGTAATGGTGGCCTGTGCACTCACTGACCTGACGGCGCGACTGCGTAACCGACTGGGTGGGGGTGGGTGAATCGGTGGGTGGGTGGACTGCACGGTGTGCTCATTTGGCTTACCTGATGCACACACACAGACTCACAGACATCCACGTCATCGGCTGACACGCTGTGTGTGCACCACATACGCCATTTCTAGACTGACTGCCTGGCCCTCGACTGGCTAGTTGCATAATCAGTGCGAGTAGCTGACCTTCACTGCTGCTGTGTCCTGTATGTTTGCGTGCTGTTGACAACTTAAGTTCTCTACACCATGAACATTTTGCGGACTTGTCCTCCGATCTGTCCACTGCCGCGTGTGGCGTGTGTATGTCGATGCATGAGGGCCTGACGCTCTGCCAAATCCTTTGGAGTCGAACTGATTTATCCGCATCTGGATGGCGAACAAAGAAAGACCGCAGACCAGCCACAGACAAGAGGGCAGCCACGCCTCCCTCTTGCAGTACGCTCCTATTTCGGGCCATGTCTTGCCCAGATGGGGCACAAAGCTTTGGATGGCCCTTTTCCAGTGTGGAAATTGGGGGCGAAAGGGCGAAGGGGAAAGCAGGCGAGAATGTAAATTCTCAGGGAGACGCGCGACGCAAATCTTTTTATTCCGCAGCTCCATTCGCTTCCATCCAGCCTCGTTGCCTTCTCCCGCTCTCCGCTCCCTTCCTTTGTGTTCGGTTTGTGTCGCCTTCCTCAGTGCCCCGCCGCATTCGCCCCGCCTCGGCCTCCCATGGCCCTCCCTGGCCGTCCGTTCCCTCGTGACCACTCGCCACTTGTGCCCTCGTCGGCAGCCGTCCTCTTCCTTCGGCTTACCAGTGAAGGGCGGCAATGCCCCGCTGGTGTCGGCACGCTCGTGCGAGAGGCGCTCTTTCGTTGGTCAGTCGGCCAACCACCTCTCAGTGACAGGTGAGTGGATGAGTGCGCGAGTTGATGAGTGCGAGTGCGCTGACATGTGTATGCGCTGTGTAGGGTGTAAGCCACCTGCACGCCCCTGCAAATGGTGTCTCCCCATGGTATCCGACTTGGAATTTTCAATGTTGTCGTCTTCTAGTCAGATTTCAAGACAGCCCGCTCCCCGTCGATGTCGAATAAAATGAGGATTGGGAGCAGATGTTTGGTCGTAAAAGACAGTCAGGCAAGCGCTTTGCCTTGGTAGGTTTCCCGCCGCTTCCTCCCGCCGCTTTTGGAGACGGGAGACGAAAAGAAAGAGGTTCTTGTCTCCGTTCGTTGTCTTCTCTGTCTTTTCCTTCAGACAGCAACGCCGGCCCACTGGATTCCAGGCTGTTGGACCCCTTGCCTTGCTGGTCTTCCCTGCGGTGAAGCCGTCAACCCTCCGAGTCCTGAGATCTTATCGCAGAGAGAGAGAGAGAGAGAGAAGCACGGCGTCTAGCGGCTGCCTGGCTTCCGTATCGGCAAAAACGTTCTCTTCTGTCTCTGGTTTCTTGCAGGCTACTCATCGTCTATCGCCGACCCGCCTGCGTCGCTGAATCCAACGGGTAATGGAGGCGACACGGCGTTCCGGCGAGAAATTTATTTCTCGGCGGAGACGCGCGAGAAACCGTTTCAAGAACAATCTGTTCGCTCCAAACCGCTTCCATTCCAGCTTCGTTGCCGCCTCCCCTTCGCATCTCCTTCCCCCCCTCGCCACAGGGCAAGTTTACTTGGGGCCTGGCAGTTGGGGCCGTGGGCCTTCCGTTTGGTCACGAGAGGTAACTTCACGTCGAAGCCCATTCGCACCCTCGCCCTCACCCGACATGGACCCCCAGCGCCACTAAGATGGCGACTGAGAAGGCGACGTTACCCTCGGCACTGCACTTGTCCTTTTTGTTGAATTCAGGTGCAGCCCAAGCTCGATAGCGGGCGCCAGCCACCGGACAGCTCTCTGAGGGAAGGAAAGGCAGACGGGGCCCATTCCTTCGCTCATCCCTATCCTGTATGTGTGGTCATTCGTGTGTTGCGTCCAGATGGAGCGTTGTGAGGCCTTCGCGCGCCTTTGGCTGCCAAGATGGTGTGGCAACGGTCCGAGGTCAGAATGTCACACAACCTGTGGTCGGGATGCACGACAGCAAAGCAGCTTGCATACACATGTGGTCTGCTTTGGTCTTTGGGACAATCCTGCGGCGTGTCGTCGCAGGTACGCCTTCGCTTCGTTCTCTCTCTTCCTTGGTCAGCAAGGGGACGAGTCACATCAGGGATTCGCCAAGGCCGCCAAGAAGGGTACGTATTGGTCGATGGATGCGCCATTGGATGGATGGATGGATGGATGGATGGATGGCATGCAGGCAGGCAGGCAGGTGCACTGTACCGGTCTGTTGTTTGTTCAGATGAGCAGCGGCCCGACAACGAGGAGTTCGCCGAGCACTTCGACCAGCGGGAGACCTACTGCAGGGCGAGGGCGACGAGGACGACGACGGTGGGTGCGGGGGCAATACATTATCGACAAATGAACACACAGACACCCCTTGTGTGTTGGGCTGTGTGTACCGATTGATGCAGACGTCTGGTGGATGGACTTCGGCCGGCAATACGCCCACCCCATGCACAGCCACCCCAGCTGGTTTCTGGGCTACCAAGGCGACGACAACTCATCTGGCGGCGGTGAGTGGGTCCACAGACGGATACGGACGGCTGTTACAGATATGACATTGGGTGTCTGGCCTGTCTGCAGACGAGGAGAGGGAGGCGGCAGACGCCGGCCAGATGGAAGACCAGCGGAAGCAGCAGGAGGAGAGGCAGGAGGGTACGTGTGGCTGAGTGACCATACAGGCCCCGAATGTGTGTGCACAAACACCCTGTCGACATTCTTTGCTCATGCGGTCCATGTCTGTCTGTCTGTGTGTCTGTCTGTCTGTCTGTCTGCAGAGGAGGCGGCTGACGAGCAGCACGACCAGCAGCAACACGAGCAGCAGCCGGCCCCCATCAAGGTATCATCCCTTCCACTGCACGCACGCCCCTAGGCCGCCCATGTGTGTCGTGTGTCAATCAGGTCCACCAGCTCAAGCAGCAGGCGGCGACGGTGCAGCAGAAGACCTACGTCTACCTGTGGGGTCAGGCGTGGACTCAAGTGCGCCCGCCCGTGGTGGTGGTGAGGACACTGTGAATGCATTAATGGCTGATGGGCGCGGCGCATCAACGCATTTGCCTCCTGCTGTGTGTTGTCAGGGGACGATGCGACGGACGTTGGGTTACCGGCTGCTGGTGGGTTCTTCTCAGCAATAGTGTCCGCATCTCAGCCATGTTTGTTACTCGGTGTCTGGTGTCTTGTCTGTCAGACCTTTGGGCCCTCACACATCGAAACCGCCACACATCGCCGTAAGATGTCCACACACATGCACATGTATATTTATATGGTGAGTGTGGGGTAGTTTGTATCGATCCCTCGTGTTTATCTCTCTCTGTGTGAGCAGGGCCCTCGGTCAAGGCCTGCTGCCGATAAGTATGCTCCACGGCATGGCATGTGTTGCGTGCCGTTTCGTCACAGAGGCGGAGATGCAAGCTGGTAGGAGGAATCAATCAGTGATCATCGTACACGACAGAGATGGACGTGCTCACTGTGTCTGTGTCGCTGCAGCTGTGGAGCTGGCCGAGCGGGAGGGGACCGACGAGGAGCCCGAGGGTATGTCTGTGTGTGGGGGCGACACATCACTGTGCACACAGACACCCCTTGTGTGTTGGGCTGTGTGTACCGATTGATGCAGACTTCTAGTGGGTGGGCTTCAACCAGCAATACGCCCACCCCGTCCACAGCCACCCGCAGTGGTTCCTCGGCAACTACGGCGATGAAATCCCCTTCGCCGGCGGCAGCGGTGAGTGGGCCCACTGACGGATACGGACGGCTGTTACACAAATGACATCGGGTGTGTTGCCTGTCTGCAGCAGACGAGGAGCGGGAGGCGGCCGAGCGCCGCCAGATGGCCGAGGAGGAGGCCGCCGAGCAGCAGCGCCGCCAGATGGCCGAGCAGGACGACCAGCAGCAGCCGGCGGCCATCCAGGTATGTATCATCCACTCGACTGCACACACGCCCCTCCCTCCCTCCATGTTTATCCATCTGTGCAGCAGAAGCAGTATGTGTACCTGTGGGCTCAAGCGTCCTGGACTTAAGTTCGCCCGCCCGTTGTGGTGGTGAGGACACTGTGAATGCATTACGTAATGGCTGATGTTCGCATCAACGCATTTGCTTCCTGCTGTGTGTCATGTCAGCGGACAACCAGACGTACCGTCGCTTATCGCCTGGTGGTGGGTGGAGTGACCAGAGGAACTGCTCAGCAATGGTGTCCGCATCTCAGCCATGTTTGTTTCTCTGTACCTGGTGTCTTGTCTGTCAGCCCGTTGGGCCCGCACACACACACCTGGCTGCACATCGTGGTAAGATGTCCACACACACGCACACACACATTGTGTGGAGTAGATTTGTGTCGGTCCCTTCTGGTTATCTCTCTGTGTGAACAGACCCGGTGCTGATGAAGGCCTGCTGCCGCTGTGCTGTGCTGTGTGGCTGGCTGGCTCTCTGTCTGTCTGTCTGTCTATCTGTCTGTCTGTCTGCCTGCCAGTTTTGCGCCGCGCCCTTCTCTCCCTGCCCGACTCACTCACTCACTCCCCCGCTCCCTCACTGCCTCCCTCAGTGCGTGGTTTGGTGTTTCGTTCGCCCTTCGGATGGATGGATGGATGTCAGCTTATAATGCTACACACTCACAATCTCAGTCACTCACTGCAGCGGGGAGACCGCGATAAGGGCGAGGGCGACCAGGACGACGACGGTGGGTGCGGGGGCAATACATTATCGACAAACGCACACACAGACACCCTTGTGTGTTGGGCTGTGTGTACCGATTGATGCAGAATTCTGGTGGGTGGTGGGCTTCAACGGCCAATATGCCCACTCAGTGCGCAGCCACCCCAGCTGGTTCCTGGGCTACCAAGGCGACGACAGCCACTTCGTCGGCGGCAGCGGTCAGTGGGCCCACTGACGGATACGGACGGCTGTTACAGATATGACATTGGGTGTCTGGCTTGTCTGCAGACGAGCAGCAGCAGGAGGCCGAGCCCCAGATGGACCAGCAGGAGCAGGAGGAGAGGCAGGAAGGTACGTGTGGCTGAGTGACCAGAGAGGCCCCGAATGTGTGCACAAACACCCTGTCGACGGTCGTATATGTTTGCTCATATGGTCTCAGAAGAAAATCGCCGTCTACATTTTATATCCTGTGGCTCATATTTCATTCGACCCTCGCCCTCCGGCCTGGATGCAGCTGCCCTATTTGGCCAACGGGAGGTAAGTCGCAGGTGACACAGAGCACCATTCGGCACTCTCGTATACGTGTTGTATGTCTTGTGTGTCTGCCAAGAGTCATCTGGTGCCGAGGAGAGCACCGACACGGAACCGAAGAGCCTCGCATCGCAGTGCCAGGCAGCTGAGCGCCAAGAGGTTCAGCAGAGCGGCTGATACGCTCGTTCGCATCGACGTGTGACGGTGTGCCCCGACCCGTTCCCGTTCCAGCTGCCCTTGCTCGTTCTCGTGCTCTTCTTCGGTAGTCGCGTGCGGCTGCTCGTCTACCTGTTGCTGCTCAAAGCCTTCCCGTCCCTTGTGCGACACAGCAGCCAGACAAGATGGTGCTGTACAACCCCAAATCGAAGCTGTACAAGGGCTTCCTGAGGTGAGAAAGGCAGACAGCCCAGACACGCTCACCCTGGAGTGGAATCGGGATGAATGAGTGCACATGCCTGGTGTGTGTGTGTGTGTGTGTGTTGTGGTGTGCAGCAAGCACGAGCACCATCACAAGCACGGGCACCATCAGGAGCAGCAGCAGCACGGTACGCAGAGGGCCGTGCTGTGTGGGGTGTTGGGACGGGAAGCGAGGCGAGAACAGTGATCTGTCTGTCTGTCGCTGGTCTCTGTGCGCGGCAGCCATGAGTGACACGTTCCTCGACAGCGTCCTGCAGAAGATCCTAGGCGTGGAGGGCGGGTCAGAGAGCACCAGTGCATTGCATGTCTCCGTCTGTCTGTGCATTCCGTCTCCCGTCTGTGTTGCCATTCAGAAGCAAATCGCCGTCTATGTAGCCTATATTTCATTCGACTCGCGCCTTCGGCATCTGCACAGCTGCCGTGCTTGTGCCTATGGGATCACGCGCCTGCAGCATGATGGTACGAAGGTGACATTGGCACATGTACGCCATCACGGTCAGGCTGATACGTGTTGTGTCTCTTGTGCATTTGCAGCGGAGTTCGCCGAGCACTTCGACCGGCGCCGAGACCTCCAGCAGGGCGAGGGGGACCAGGACGACGACGGTGGGTGCGGGGGCAATACATTATCGACAAATGCACATTCGTTGATGGGAACTGTGTGTGTGCGTGGCTGATCCAGGTGAGGAGGCCCGCGAGGTGACGGAGGGCCTGGCCGGTATGTTTGCCAACACGTGCAGTACATGGATGGGACCACAGACGCGTCATATGTGTGTGCTGCATGTGTCTGTCTTGGTGCAGCTGGGGAGGCAGGTGAGGCTGCGGCCGGCAACTGGAGGGACGACTGGAAGATGGGGGGCCGAAAGGGTACGTGCGAATGACACAAACAGCTTCCCTCACACACATAACTGTCACCCTTTGGCTGCTGTGCCTGGACGCAGCGAGAGGACTCGGCCAACTTCGCGACCCCGGTAGCCCCCC